CTGCCCCCTCGGGCACCCTGTCTGGTCTGTACCTCCCCTCATTCTCAACGAACTTGGTGAGTGGTGCTGACCTGCAGGATGGGGGGGTTCACCAGTTTACTCCTGCGAGTCAGCGGGTGACCCACTGCTCGGACGCCCGCACAGGCCGACACCTGGCCACGTTTTCGCGTCGGCCGGGGTCGAGTCTCTACACCCTGACCACTGAGTCTCCTCCTGTCCCTGCGTCTGGCCAGGTAGCTGCGTCGGGTCAGGTGTTTGCTGCTGCGTCCAGGTCTGGTCCTGAGTCTGCCCCCTGCTCGTGTCGCCTCCTGTCTCACGAGACTCTCCTGTGGCACCACCGTCTTGGCCACCCCTCCTTGCCTCGTCTTCGGGGCATGGCTTCCCGTGTCCTTGTCTCTGGTCTCCCCCGGTCTCTCCCTCCCCTTCCTTCGGGGCCAGGACCTTCCTGTGTCCCCTATGTCGAGGGGCGGCTCCGGGCTGCCCCTCACTCCTCCCAGTTTCCCCCGACAGAGGCTCCTCTGCAGACGCTTCACATGGACGTGTGGGGCCCGGCCCGCGTCCGTGGACAGGGTCACGAGCGCTACTTCCTGCTGGTGGTTGACGACTACTCGCGTTACACCACAGTCTTCCCCTTGCGCAGCAAGGGTGATGTCACTGAGGTGTTGATCGACTGGATCCGCGCAGCTCATCTCCAGCTCAGGAGGAGCTTCGGCTCGGACTTTCCTGTCCTGCGTCTGCACTCTGACCGAGGCGGAGAGTTCTCCTCTGGCCTTATGCGAGCCTACTGTCGTGCACGAGGCATTCGCCAGACCTTTACGCTTCCGGACTCTCCACAGCAAAATGGGATTGCTGAGCGCCGCATTGGCATGGTCATGGACGTCGCTCGTACGTCCATGATGCATGCGGCTGCCCCCCATTTTCTGTGGCCGTTTGCAGTTCGGTACGCGGCGCATCAGATCAACCTTCACCCCAGGGTCTCCCGGCCGTAGACCTCCCCAGCTCTGCTGTGGACGGGGAAGGTCGGCGATGCGTCTGCGTTCCGTGTCTGGGGATCTCGGGCGTTTGTCCGCGACTTGTCTGTGGACAAGCTGTCCCCTCGTGCTGCTCCCTGTGTCTTCCTAGGCTTCCCCCCTGACGCCCCAGGGTGGCAGTTCTACCACCCCTCCTCTCGTCGTGTTCTGTCCTCCAAGGACGTCACGTTCGACGAGTCAGTCCCCTTCTACCGCCTCTTCCCCTACCGCACTCCTTCCCTCCCCCCGCCACCGCACTTCCTTGTGCCAGGTCCCCCCCAGGTAGACCCCCTTCCCCCTCAGGGTCCTGCCCCTTCAGATGTGTCCCAGGTAGACGCAGTCGAGCCGGTCGAGGTTGCTGGTGACTCTGGTACTGCTGCGGGTGCTAAGCCTGGGGGTGCTGACTCTAGGGGTGCTGCGCGCGTGGGCGCTAAGCCTGGGGGTGCTGAGCCTGGGGGTACTGCGACTGGGGGTGCTGAGCCTGGGGGTGCTGAGCCTGGGAGTGCTGAGTCTGGGGGTGCTGAGCCTGGGGGTGCTGCGACTGGGGGTGCTGAGCCTGGGGGTGCTACGTCAGGAGCTGCTGAGCCAGGGGGTGCTGCTGAGCCTGGAGTTGCGTAGCCTGCGGCCACTGGACCTCCCCTTCTGGCGTCTGGCGGTGTGGGGCCTGGAGGCTCTCCGGGTGCTTCGTCTCGGCGGGAGCCACTCTCTCCACAGGAGCTGCGCAAGTGGTTTGCTCGCCGCTGGAGGCGTACTGCTGGAGCTGGAGCTTCTTCGACCGCTGAGGGTACTTGTGCCGCCGGTCCCGGGGCTCCTGGGCCTTCGGGTCCGCCTGGCGCTGGAGCTACTGAGGGTGTTGGTGCTGAGACCGTTGCTGTCCTTCCTGGCGGTGGTGGTGCTACGATTGCTGCTGGTGCTGCTGGAGGTCCTATAGCTGGAGGTGCTGTTGGCGCTGGTGCTGCCGGTGAGGGTGCTGGTGCTGTCCCTACTGTGTCTGGAGTTGCCGCGCGGCCTCGGCCGTACTTCGTTCTGCTCCAGCAGCAGGTTCTTGGTCTTTCTCCTCCTGTAGAGTGTCCACCGCCTGTCCAGTCACAGTCACAGTTAGAGCCCGCCTCCCCACTTCCTGCTCCCTCCCCTTACACTGGTCCTACTGGAGGTCTTGCTGAGCGTCGTGAGCCTGCGTCTCATCCCGCGTCGCCTGTTCGTGCTGCTCGCGCTAGTGGTCGCGGTTCGCGTCAGCGTCCTCCTCCTGTCCCTGGCACCCACCGGATGTCTCTGCGTCCGTCCACTGCTCCTCTGCGTGCCCCTTTGCCTTCTCCTCCTGAGTCCTCTCTTCCTGCACTTGCCGACCCAGAGTCAGACTCTCTCCGTACTGCCAGTCCTACTGTCACGCGTCTCCTTGCTACTGTCGTCACTGACCCCTCTTTTGAGTCCACTGCTGCGTCTGCGCTTGTTGCTGAGCTCGTCGACTTTGCTGATCGCTGTCGTCTAGACTACGCTGCCAGTCTTGTTGCTGAGTCTGCGTCTGTCTGTCCTCCGTCCGTCGGGGGTGAGTGTGCTCTTGGCATGGACGTCCTTGAGGACAGGCAGGAGGAGTTCCAGTGTCTGGCTGCTGCTTCACCTCATCTCGCGTCCGTACTACTTGCCCCTGAGGGAGACCCGGATGCACTAGACATCCCGACTCCGCGCTCTTACGCGGAGGCCGTAGAGGGTCCCTACTCCTCTCAATGGCAGGCAGCTATGGATGCAGAGATGGCTTCCTGGAAGTCCACAGGCACCTACGTTGACGCGGTTCCCCCTCCTGGGGCGAACATCGTCAGTGGCATGTGGATCTTCAGGGTGAAGCGGCCGCCGGGCTCTCCGCCTGTCTTCAAGGCGCGGTACGTGGCTCGTGGCTTCAGTCAGCGGCAGGGAGTTGACTACTTTCAAACCTTCTCTCCCACCCCGAAGATGACCACTCTTCGGGTGCTGCTGCACATAGCCGCTCAGCGCGACTACGAGCTCCACTCTCTTGACTTCAGCACTGCTTTCTTGCAGGGTAGCCTGCACGAGGAGATCTGGCTGCGCCGTCCACCTGGCTTCACTGGGACTTTCCCTCCTGGCACCCAGTGGAGCCTCCGACGGCCAGTCTACGGTCTCCGCCAGGCACCGCGTGAGTGGCACGACACACTGAGGACTACGCTTGCGGCTCTGGGGTTTGCTCCCTCTACTGCTGACCCGTCGTTGTTTCTGCGCACCGACACTTCTCTGCCGCCGTTCTACATCCTCGTGTACGTTGACGACTTGGTCTTTGCCACTGCGGACACTGCTGGACTCGCCTATGTGAAGTCCGAGCTGCAGAAGAGACACACGTGCACAGACCTGGGTGAACTGCGCAGCTACCTTGGCTTGCAGATCACTCGGGACAGAGCACGACGCACCATTACCTTGACTCAGTCACACATGGTGCAACAGGTCCTTCAGCGCTTCGGCTTCACGTACTCCTCGCCTCAGGCCACTCCTCTGTCTACTCGCCACTCGCTCTCAGCTCTGCCTTCGGATGAGTCCGTAGAGTCGAGTGGCCCGTACCCAGAGCTTGTTGGCTGCCTCATGTACCTGCACTCCTGCATGTGAACTGGCCTTGTAGCCTTGACCTTGTGCTCGGACTGTGTGGTGACTTTGTGATCCACCCTGAGCTTGCTTTGCTTTGCTTGACTGGTCTTGTGACCCCTTGTTCTCCCCCACTTTGCCTATGGGGGTGTGTCAGAACATTATAGCTTATGCATATTGTGTAGGCTATAGTGGGGTAGCCCATAAGGGGTACAACCCAATTAGGGTTAGTACTTGTACCCAACTCTTTCATAGTTGATTCATTCTCGTTCAACTTCTCTCAGTGAGGTACTCTATAGTGAATACAGCCCTAATTAGGGTATGCTATATGTATCCTATCTGCTTCTAGTGCAACCCCTCTTTCTATTTCTAACTTTATGCTAGCGTTTCTCGACAAAGCATGGGTACAAAAACTGGTACGGTACCTAACCCCCACCTAGCCTACCAAGTGTAATAGAGCGTGTTCCTACGGCCTCATATCAGGAAACCTCGTATCGAGAATGTACTTTTTGCCTGGTAAAACTAGCGAGAGGTTTAGGGTTTAGGGGAATTTCCAGTGTGAGCTGATACGAGGTTGTTCTTGATACGAGGATAGGAACAAGCTCATAGAAACAGCACATACACACTTTGACAAGGAATTCCATTACTTTCGATGTTACATGAATCATAGCCTCCAAAAGATCTTGAGAGGGCCTTCCTCAAGTCCACCCCGTTTCTCCCTTCTGGTGCCACTCTCACCCCACCCCTCTCCAAGCCAACCTGCTTCTTGTTGGAATTAGGAGGTCGCTAGAGTAGCGGAAATACTCTAGGAAATAACGACGTCCCAGCGGCGGGGCTATGGTCACTCAGAGGTAGCTCTCCTGGCTTGTAACTTGGTGCCAAAGCGGCGGCCGAGGGTAGGCCGGACACAAGCTTGAGAATTGTGTAATGATAGCATGGCAGTACATTGAGTTATATAGGAAACATAGCAGGGAGGCAGTTACCAAGGCGCAACTGTATTACAGTTGCGCTGTAACGTTTCAGCTGCCCAGTTACTGGCGAGACCTTTCAGCTTCGGCAAGGGCGCGGTATTCTGCCACGCCTCCAGGGTGGTTTCGCGTACTGTAGACGCTGCCTCTTGCTCAATTCGACCCTTCGGCTGCCACGCGGGTCGCAACCACTGTACGCGGTTGCGCCCCTGCAGTTCGATACCTGGGTCAACATCCCCGATATTGAGGGCTTCGCTTCTGCACTTCAAACAGTGCACTGCAAGATAAATAACACACAAATATATTTCCAACACTTCTCTCGCCCCTCCTCTCGACCCCCTGCTTGCCATGGATGGATCCTGTTGCTAAAAAACAAAATGATCAGTATTTATCCTGACATGCACATGCGCCGCTAGATGTGACGCATTCATAAGAACTAATCAAACTGAGATTTGTCCAAGTCGTTGAAATAAGGATGCTGAAGGGCATCCTTCGCAGCAATCCTTTTGGCGGGATCATACTCCAAGCATTGCTGCAGCATAACACAGAATCATTAAGAAAGACCAACCCCCTCCTCAAATTGCTCAAGCACACAACTCACCTTCAATAGATCAACACCGTTTTTGTCCAACTCTGGCACAAACTGAGCAAGGTTCTGGGCACTCCACTGGGGGAACTTGTACCAGTCGTGGTGATTCGAAACACCAGGCCAGATGTTGTCGTCGGGAGTTCCAAGCACGCTATACAGTCAAGTACAGTAAGGTTAGTCAGTCGATCATACCTAACTATGTGTGATTATGCAAGAAAAATGGTCACTCACTGGAAGATTTGAAGCAGCTGCTGTAACTCTGAGTTGCCTCGGAAGAGGGGCAGGTTATGTGCCATCTCCGCTGAAACCATCGTGAAGGAATGATTAGTGTGGAATGATGAGCATCAACTGAAAAGGGTCGATAACAAACACTACGTACCAAAAATGCATCCAACCGACCACATATCCACGGGCGTTGAATAGTGGGTTGCGCCAAGAAGTACCTCCGGAGCTCGATACCACAGAGTTACAATCTGCAATCAGCAGCGATGGATTAGTGCGATATCAGACTTCTGAGTCTTGTTATCACAGCGTAAGTTTGTCGAAGTCACTACCTCATGTGTATAGCTCTTGATAGGAACCGTGAATGCACGGCCCGCCCCAAGATCGGCTATTTTCACCAAGCCCCGATCTTTGTCGACAAGAAGGTTCTGCGGCTTAAGGTCTCTGCATGTACGAATGCTATTGTAAGATTTTCATCGAAAGGGTTAACGAAAAGAAGCGTGCCGCTCAGAATCCTCACCTGTGCATAACTCCGTTGCTATGGCAGTGGGCAACCCCTTTGAGGAGTTGATACATGAAATTCTGCAATCAAGTCAATGAAACAGTCAGTAACATGAAGACACGTTTCATGCGCCCTGAGGAGGCAACGACAACTCGATTACACACCTTGACAATTTTAGGTTCCAGCGGGTGGCTTGGGCCCTTGCCACGCGCATCCATGTACTTCTTAAGATCAAAGTCCAGGTATTCGAAGACCAGGTAAACCGTGGTCGTGTTGTGCTCGATAATGTGCTCAACGTCGAGTAAACTGAGAGACGAGAGGAAAAATTAGGATGAGATAAAACCCAAGACTGAATGCTACGCGGAGGGCCCTGGAATGGCGGGACTGCCTGTGTTCTTACCGTACGACATGCACGCTCTTTGAAAGCATCTTCAAAAGAGAAACTTCACGAATGGTTGTCTGTGGAACCCCCCCTTGCCCCATATCCGGAAGGGTCTTCTTTAGCGCTACTGTCTTGCCAGTCTTCTTGCATCTCGCTTTGTAGACCTTCCCATAGGTGCCTTCGCCTACTTTCTCGAGCTTTTCGTAGTCCTCCATGGCAAAAATAGTCCCGAAAACGAGACATACCGAGCCTGGTTCTATAACTCTGCTAGGAGGCTATAAAGACGTGTGCTTGCAGGCATGATCGGAAACTGAGTGGCCAAACAGAAGGTGTCCGTCCGAGTCCGACCCGGCCTACTTTGCAGATCCGGGTGGATATTCGGACCCACACTGCATGACGGACTGCGACGATTATGAGATAGTATTCCCGGTTGTTACGAACAGCCAACCTCGTAACAGGCGATCGTCTAAACGACTCCCACCGACACCGCACGACCCCTCACGATTCCCACCTCTAGCCCTCTTTTGGGGATTTGGGGGCCTCCAACATTCTTGGAGTGCGACTGCAAAAGCTGTTCGTAACAGCCCGTTACGAGCCCGGAATGCGGCCTGACTCTGCCCATTTCAGGGCTCGTCATCTTTTTAGGCCGTGTGGCCGTATTAGTGTAATCTCCGCTCGGCCCACAACGGTACTTTAGTCCAGTGATCGTCACCATCTTCGTTGGTGATACTCGCTCCTCTTCTGTTTCCCTCTCGCAATTGGCCAAAATCGCAGTGACGGACCTTTTTGCCTGGAACATTGGTCCGTGCCTGCAGTCTCTGACAGCCACTGCAACCGATAGTCCATAAACAACAGTGAAGCGCAGAACTGGCTAAGGAGGCGTCCCTTGAAATGGATCGATCCGCTGGTAGATCGGTATGGAAATACCAGTGTAGCACTGAAGCGTCATAATCAGCAAGGTTACCACATTTCGTAGAAGCTGGCGAGGGCACATATCTGCTCCCGCGATCTTCTCATCCAATCTTTAGAGCGTGGAACATCCTTGTGAACAAGTGTCCCGTCGGCTCTCTGGTCGAACATTTGTCTCGTCAATGGTTTTCGTCAGGTAACACGCAAAACCCCATATCCCAAGTTGGAAACACTTGGTCGCCCAGAAATACGGAGTCGCGATGATACACGAAAGCGCCTGCTTCGTCAAAAACCGTGCTGCAAATTGGGTCGCAGCCCGTCACTCACGACAACACCTGGTTTCATTTCGCATGTTTTTCCTGACGTCGCCACTTCTTGTCTTATCAGCGAGGTTCAACAGGTGGGGAGACCAACAAGCATAAGCTGTGGAACGTGCGTTCTTCGGGCAATCTTCGTCAGTCTGCTTCGTAGGTCAATGGCGATGGTCGCAACAATGATTACTGTCGATGTTGGGCGACCATCGTCTTGTTCAAAAGGATGTTCCAGCCCTTAAACGATCGATATGGCGAATTTGCCTCGCCATATCGATCGCGAGGTTGGGGGGCACGACCTGGGCCCTGTTCTGTTGCCGCACCACTTGATGCGGGGGTGGACAGGACAGCACCGCATCACATGGTCCACCATCAGGAACTTCCGCGAAACAACAGACCCGGTTGGTGCAACGCAGCATCCTGCCGCACCACTTTATGCGGTGCCTTGATCCCCCCTCTGAACCTGAGGACACGGCACCTGTTTTCATTTTGCCAGGATCGATTGTGGGAGGGGATTGATGTGTCGCTTGTACAGTGTATTGGCGACATCGCTAATGCCTGGTATCCGTTTTTCGCTGAACGTCGAGAATGTACAATAAACGGGTACCTAAATTGGTAGCACCTGCAGCTCGCACGATCGATGTGCCGTGGTGCATGCGTTAGGGTTGGCGGGAGAGCATATCGCGCCACAGGTGACAGCCTCGATCGATCGGCGTCGCCCACGGTCGCAGGCCAAAAATTTTTGAGTCGCTGCGAATGGAATTGCTGGACGACCATCCACGCTCTGCCCTGATTGGCTGCGTGTTTAAGTGTAATGGCAGCTCCAACCTGCCCGAGCCTACAATTTCGACCCTGGCACCTATAGCTCAATGTGTCTATCCCACTGCAAATTTGTAGTGTGGGCACATCGGTGTGCCGATCGATATGCGATGATCGATGTGAGGCCCGATCCTTGTAAAATGAAAACAGGTGCCGCGTCCTGAACCAGGCCCGCACCAGTCCCGCACCCATTTTGCCTGGGAGTGGGGGATTACGAGTGTGTCAGTGGTTCACCGTTCTTTTGGGCGGACTGACTGCACTGCACTCGCTAGGTCCGGGAAGAGGTTCAGTTTCCCGAGCCTAGAATCAAGGAATACGCCCTCATAAATGAAGCTCGCAGGATCTCCGGTGGAACCCCGGAGGAAGCATCAATCTGGTGCAGTGCGGAGGGGTACGGACCAAGTGGTGCGGCAACAGAACAGGGCCCTGAACTTCGCGCCCATGGTGACATGCACGATTGATCTCTGTCGACCCACGACATCGCAACCAAATGGATGTGCGACTTGTCACACCCAAAACTTCTTGCAATGCCCTTGCAAATCTCGCAGGCGAATTTTTGTCGCTGCTGGGTAGGTGTACCCCTAACCCAATCCTGGCTCGCCGAACATCACATCCCACTGCGCTTTGGTCTTCCCTTGTCCAACCAAGTTCCCTGTAGTCGCATCCTACATTCACATGTTATGAGTTATTGTTTATCTATTTCTGCTTGAGATCCTCGTGTACCGCAATCAGGGAGTTCATACAGAGCGTTGCATGTTTCATTTTCTCGCTCCAGGAGTTCTAGGGCTCTCGACAGCGCATGAAGCAATGTGAGCTTGCGATGATTTGCGAGCTAGGGGGGAAGGGAGGTGAATACCATCGTTGTGTGGCACAGATCCAAATGACGCGGTCAGAGGAAGAGACTAGGTTGGCATTTAACTTCGTGCTCGGTTGTGGCAGACTAACATGTAACTGCTTAGGCCGAGTTTTGAACTATGGTAATCAGCAGTGTTCTCACGTAGGTTCAACAATAATTGAAAGTGAACAATAACAGCCTGTCCCCAATCATGGTGATATACACAAGGTAGTGACGTGATACTAAGAACAGAAGAGGTGACGTTTGGAATCGACGTGGGCCACTAGATGTGGCGCCGCACTCAGAAGAGAGCATCAAACTGCGATTTGTCGAAGTCGTCGAAATAAGGATGCTGAAGGGCATCCTTCGCAGTGATCCTCTTGGCGGGATCATACTCCAAGCATTGCTGCAGCATTACACAGAATTGATAAATAAATGGAATTTAAATCCCCTCTCAAATTGCTCAGTCATACAACTCACCTTCAATAGATCAACACCGTTCTCGTCCAACTCTGGCACAAACCGAGCAAGGTTCTGGGCACTCCACTGGGGGAACTCATGCCAGTCGCGGTGATTCGAAACACCAGGCCAGATTTTGTCGTTGGGAGTTCCAAGCATCCTGTAAAATCAGGTACGAAGTAACGCTGGTCAGTAAATCATGCCGAACGATCGCGAGACTAGGCAAGAGAATGTCTCACTCACTTGAAGATGTGAAGCAGCTGCTGCAACTCTGAATCGCCAGGGAAGAGCGGCACCTTGTGTGCCATCTCCGCTGAAACCATTGCAAAGGAATTATTAGACTCGGAAGATGAGCATCCGTTACGCGGGTTGATAATAAACATAACGTACCAAATATGCAGCCAACCGACCACATATCCACGGGCGTGGAATAGTGGGTTGCGCCAAGAAGTACTTCCGGAGCTCGATACCACAGAGTTACAATCTGCAATAAGCAGCGATAAATCAGTACGATATCGGTGCCTCTGACACATGTTAAGTACGTCAATGTCGTTACCTCGTGTGTGTAGCTCTTGATAGGAACAGTGAATGCGCGGCCCAATCCAAGATCAGCGATTTTCACCAAGCCCCGATCTTTGTCGACAAGAAGGTTCTGCGGCTTAAGGTCTCTGCATGCACAAAAAGGGTTGTTAGTTTGTTTTATTTTCATAGGGATGACACGGGAATACGCGAGCAGCGCTGGATTTTCACCTGTGCATAACTCCATGGCTATGGCAGTGAGCAACTCCTATGAGGAGTTGATACATGAAGTTCTGCAATCAAGACAATGAAAATGTCAGTAACCGTCAACGAAGACACGTTTCATGCACCCTGAGGAGGCAATGTCAGTCAATTTACACACCTTCACAATCTTGGGGTCCAACGGGTGGCTTGGGCCCTTGCCTATCGCATCCATGTACTTCTTGAGATCGGTATCCAGGTACTCGAAGACCAGGTAAAGCATGGGCTTGTTGTACTCGGTGATGTGCTCGACGTTCAGTAATCTGAGAAACGAAACGAATATTGCGATGAGATAAATGCCACAACTAGACGCGAAGGGAAGGGTTCTGACGAGTCTGGCTGTGTTCTTACCGCACGACATGCACGCTCTTGGAAAGCATTTGCAAAAGAGAAACTTCACGAAGGGTTGTCGAAGGAACTCCCTCTTCCTCCATCTCCAAACGAGTCTTCTTCAAAGCTACCGTCTTGCCTGTCTTCTTGCATTTCGCTTTGTATACCTTGCCATAGGTACCTTCGCCTACTTTCTCGAGCTTTTCGTAGTCCTCCATGGCAAAAAAATGACACGAATAGGAGAGGTACAGAGCCTGGTTCAGGAACTCGGGTAGGAGGCTGTGAAGTCCAGCGTTGCAGGAACTAACAGGGCTAAGCTCGGAAACTGAGTTAACAATGCCCAACCAGAAGGTGGACTTATGGCAGCGTTGAAGTGACACCTCAACAAGGGGAGATTCGAAAAAAGCGCGGGACTGTTGTCAGGCACAGTGCGCGTCTGCTGCATGACTGGCGTCGCCACTGAAAATGGGCGGGAGGAGGGTGCAGGTGAAAGGAGAATTTGAAGGGGTCAGAAGTGCCTTCAAACGAGTATTGTCATGGCTGATAGCAAACGGACCTCAGGTTGAATGAACTACAACTGAGCAGAACAAATCTACAGTGGCATGAATGAACAATAAATTATATGTTCTTCTACGATATTATTGGCACACAAGTTTAGTTCAGAGCTCTCATAAGCATCTCTCCCAGTTATCCACGGCCACATATTATAAAATCATTATATTATCCAAAACTTCCGCTTCGGGAGGCATATGTTTTTGTTGTCTCTATTCTT